ATAAATATTTGATATTTTTAACATTTCTGAGCTAATGTCAACCAGTTTCAGGCTCACTAAAAGGATTTCAGGCTCAACATATTTCCACTGCAGTCAATATAGTTTATTTTAAGTTTGATGTTTCCTAAATGAAAACTTTTTCACACACCAATTACTAAGGTTTGATCGAGGCAGTTTTATGTATATTAATGAAATGACAGATTCCATCAAAGACAACTGATGCATATGCATTCTTTATCAACCTTATGCCACAAGAGGGCATCCAGCAATGTGTGGTCCAAGTTGATAGGTTATCATTTCACATCTAGCCATGTGTGGTCCAAGTGAAAAAATCCTGTGTTCGCTTTTTTTTTTTTTAAAAGCAAGCCGCTAGAAATGGTAATATCTCTGTTGAAGAAAGCACTTGGATACTATTTTAAGGATGTATCTTAAATTGCCTTGCCTTCTTTAGGATTACCTATATGGGAAAACTACAAATTATCTGACCTACAATGATTTTATCAACAAGGAACTTGTGCTGTTCTCAAATTCTGATAATGAGCGATCCATTCCATCATTAATTGATGGTAAGGTGGTTTTTTTTTTACAAATTAAACAAAATTTTATGTACTTTGAATATAGTTCATAATTTTTGAAAGAGATAGACCACAAAGTGGGTAAATTTTGTAACTGACAAATAAACATTTATAAAGCTTTATATTCTTAAACATTCTTGCTTGAAGCAGGATTTAATGCATCAGAAAATGTATATTTATTGCCTTGATATAAGGCAGATATATTTCCAATAAACTAATATATAATCTAACTTGGAAGATTTGTCCTTTTGAGAATGCCTTAGCTAGGTAAGGCTCATTATGAAGAGAAGTTGTAATTACTAATGGCTTCTCTGATTCTTTCAGGACTGAAACCAGGTCAGAGGAAAGTTTTATATACATGCTTCAAAAGAAATGACAAGCGGGAGGTAAAAGTAGCTCAGCTGGCTGGATCAGTGGCAGAGATGTCCTCTTACCACCATGGAGAGGTAACAGAATATTAAAGGGATCTCAAAAAGTAGCAAGTAAAAATATAGTTTATAAGTATATTAGAAATTATTACAAGAAGTGTGTGATTTTTCATTTTCTAGCCCTGTGATCAGCAATCTGGGACTTTATAAATATGACTAAGTTACGTTCCCCGCATGTTCATAATTTGCTCTATTGACATAGGGCCACTGGGAGTTGAAGTTCAGCAAGTTTTGGAAAGCCATAGGTTGCCCATATATGCTGCAGCTAGTAACAAGGCTTGGAGATGGAGTTTCCTCTAATTACCAAACCATGTCAATTAGCCAATAGTTGAAGCAGAGTTTATTTGGAATAAAGGTAGAAGTTTCTAATGATTTTGGATTTTCTTGGCTAGTGCTAGTGATTAGCTTGTCTTTCCAATGCTTGTTCGTTTTATTGATGTTTGATGATTTTGGTGGTAATGCATCACTGATATTTTTTTTCAGACCTCACTGATGATGACTATTATTAATTTGGCTCAAAATTTTGTGGGCAGCAACAACCTGAACTTACTTCAACCCATTGGTCAGTTTGGAACTAGGCTGCATGGTGGAAAAGATGCTGCAAGCCCTAGATATATCTTTACAATGCTCAGGTTGGTAGAAGCAGGTTGCTTTTCTTAGAGTTGACTGAGGCACTCCTTTCCAACTTAGTGTACAGTAAGTCATCAACTTACAACAATTTATTTAGTAACTATTCAAAGTTACTTTAAAAAGTGACTTATATCTCTATTATGATCATTGCAGCATCTCAATGGTCACATAATCAGAATTCAGATGCTTGACAGCTGACTCATATTTATGACAGTCAGGCATGTGTTCAACTTTCTGACAAGCAAAGTCAATAGGGAAGCTAGATTCACTTAACCATGTTACTAACTAAACCAGAGTTCGCCAACCTTTTGGGCCTCAGGGACAATCAAACTCATAATTTTAAATCCTGTGGACCACTAATATGAATTTTGTCTGATGGTGGCTTGCTAACGTTTTCCCAGCGTCTCTGCAGAAAGCAGCAGAGACCTGGGAAAATCCAAAAAAAAGTCTGCAGGAAAACCCCACTCGGTTTTCCGACCAATCGATCGTTCTTTATTTGGGATCACAGGATACCGTCTCCAGCTCCGTTCTCAGCGAGAGAGAGGAGAGAGTTGGCTTCATGCAAGGAAAGCAGCAGAAGCAGCAGAAGTCTTTCTTTCTCTCCCCCAAACTCCGCCAGAAATGAATCTTGGAGCAGCCTCTTTGGAGCAGGAGGCCTTGCAGGGTCCCAAAGACTCATTTCTAGCAGAGTTTGGGAGGAGAGGAAGAAAAACTTTTGCTGCTTTCCTTGCGTGCAGCCAGAAGCAGAAGTGGAAAGAAGCAGCCCGGTGGCCAGGCCAGGTGCGTGGGGCGAGTGGAGCAAATTCCCTCCCTCCGCCCCTTTCCCCCCCTCGCCTCACTACTTCATGTTGTTTGCAATGCAAGCGACGCAAGCCTTGTGTTCCCATGACCCATGTGGGTGGCGTAGTCTTGTGTTCCCGCACAGTCTGGATTAATTGCTTTGGGGGTGACATTTCTCTGCGGACCACCAAAATTTTCTCGCGGACCAGTGGGCCGGGGACCACTTAACTGTGGCGAGAAAGGTTGTAAAATGGTACAAAATTCACTTAATTGTCTTGCTTAACAACAGAAATTTCAGAT